ATAGGAATGAAATTGACTACATCTGTGGAAGAAATCATTGGAGAAGCTCAATATCGTCAGTCAAAACTAGGCCAGGGGTCAAATGTGGGTCAAATAATTAATTATTAATATAAAAGTTCAAATTGAGGCTGAGGAAAATTAAAATAAGTCCACAAGAACCAAGATATAGTATTGAATCTATTCCATCTGAATTTCAAGATCATCTTAAGAATAAGTTTGAGGCACTGAACACCAATGGTTGCAGATCTTGTGAGTTGTGGGATAATATCAAGGATATTATCCATGAAGAAAGCAGAAGGTCATTACAAAAACAGAGGGAAAAGAAAAAGCTGATATGGATGTCATAAGAGACTAAAAATTTCACTAGAGCATCAAGAAGCTAAAATAAAAAGGAACATGTTGACCCAAAGGGCAGCTCAAGAGGACAAATAAAATAATTAGATGGAATGTGCAGAGAGCTGGAATTGGAGAACAAAAAGGGAAGCATTTGCTTTGCATTTCTCAAGTTGAGAGAACTAAAAAACAAATTTAAACCTTGAGTTGCAATATTGAAAGATGCTATGGGCAATATATTGAATGACCTAGAAAGCATCAAAAGAAGATGGAGGAAAGACACCGAATCACTGTACAAAAAAGAGAACAGACTGACACTGAAAAAATCCCAGGAAGTACCACATGAGGAAGAGCCAATGGTAATGAAAGAGGAAATGGAAGCTACATTGAAGGGACTGGCAAAATATAAGGCCTCAGGAATCGATGGGATACTAATTGACTTGTTTCAATTAACAGAGCCTTGGATGAGCTCACCAGTGTATGCCAGGAAATTTGGAGAACAGTTGTCTGGCTAATGTATTCGAAGAGCTCCATATTTGTTCCTATTCCCAAGAAAGATTAACAAGTGAATGTGGAAACTATGAAACAATATCATTAATAACACATGCAAGCAAAATACTGCTGAAAATCATTCAAAAATGTCTAGAAAAGTACAGAGACAGGCAACTACTAGAAGTTCAAGCAGGATTTAGAAGAGGCTGGGGCACTAGAGATAATCATTGCTGATGTCAAATGGATCCTGGCTGAAAGTAGGCATAACCAGAAGAGTGTCTTTTTTGTGCTTTATGGACTATGCAAAGGCATTTGACTGTGAGGATCATAACAAACTGTGGCTGACATTAAAAAGAATAAGAATCCCAGAGCACTTTTGTGCTCATGCAAAACCTACACCTGGACCAGAAAGCTGTGATGCGAACAGTACAGGGGGACACTGCAAGGTTTAAAATTTAAAAAGGAGTGTATCAAGGTTATATTCTCTCTCCATATCTATTCAACCTGTATGCTGAACAAATTATTCAAAAAGCTGGCCTCTATGAAGAGAAATGTGGCATTAGGATCTGAAGGAGACTCATAAATAATCTGTTATGCAGATGATACAACCTTGCTTGCTGAAAGTGAGGAAGACTTGAAAAACTTGTGGCAGAAGATCAGAGAATGCAGCCTTCTGTATGGATTGCATCTCAATGTCAAGAAAACAAAGATTCTTACCACTGGGCAGATAGACAACCTCACAATGGATGGAGAAGAGATTGAACTGCCAACAACTTCATCTTATAATTGGATCCACAACACCTTTGGTACCAGCAGTCAGGTAATCAGGAGACTGGGAAAGTCCAAAGTTATGAACCTCTCCAAATTATTGAGGAGCAATGATGTCAGTTTGAGGACTAAAGTAAGCCTGATTCAGGCCATGGTCTTGCTGATCAATTGCTATACATCTGAAAGCTGGACAATGAATAGGTTTGACAGAAGAAGAATTGACATCTTTGAGCTGTGGTGTTGGAGAAGAGCACTGAACACCCCAAGTATGGTCAAAAGAACAAACCAATACGTCTTGGAGATGCTACAGCCAGAATCCTCCTTGGAGACAAAGATGATGAGGCTTTACCTGACATACTTTGGGCATGTTGCTTGGAGGGGTGATCCCTTGGAAAGAGATCTGATGCTGGAAATGGTGAAGGGTTGGCAAATGAGAGGAAAACCCTTGAACAGGTGGATTGACACAGGGCTCTAGTGTATCGGGAAGTGGATATGAAGATGTCACAGGACAGGACTGCGTTCAGATACATTGTTCATAGTGTTAACAACTACAATAACGACTTCATCTATCACTCACTTATTTCAATGGAATGTGAACAGCTCAATGAGTTTCTGAGGTGGTAAATTCCAGAGGAAATTGCCCATCTTTTTTTTAGGAAGCCTCAGCTGGATTCCAACAACCAGAGAGGTGCTGCCTGTGTGTTAGCAGTCTAACTCTCCAAGGACTATTCCAACAGAGTTCCCTACTTTTATCCTACATTCAGATTTACTCCAGAGTCACGCTCTCCAAGACACCACAACTATAAATAGGAGACAGATCTCCTCTTATAAAGTGTACATTATAGTACACAACAGCAAAAGCAAAAATCAGTTCAACTATGCATACATGTATTGAAAAGTTAAACTCAAATATCAATGCTACTCAGATAAAGACAGAGAGAGTTAAAAAAGAATGCAACCATACATTGTTACATACCATCCTGTCAGAACCAACTCACAGCTGAACTTCCGAGGAGTTTTCAGAGACAGTAAAATTGCACAGGAGAAGGAGAGACAATCTCCTCCCACTTGATTTACTGCCTCTGAAAACTCCCTGGAGGGACAGCTACAGGTTAGTTCCTACTCAGAAGTACACAACAACAAATTGCATAGGAAGAGATTGCTTAGCCTTCTCCCACAGAGCAGCTGTGGTTCTAATTCTTAAAGGTAATTTGAACTATATATACTAAGTGACAAATGAGTCTTGTGTGGCCGCTGATCACTACACAGAAATAATGAAGCAAATATAGCAAAAAATGTACACTTCCCTCTGAAATACTATCAGAAGAAAGGCTTGATAATTGAAAACTCTATGGAACCCAGCTCTCTGGCATACATAAAAATGGCAATGAGTCAGAAGAGACACAATGGTAATTGGTACTTGACCTACAACTCAAAAACTCATAGCTGGCCCTCCATTGAGTTTCAAAACTGGATGAGAAAAGATTGCTCATGTTTCTCCTGTAGAGTTTCTCATGGATTTGACCCATCAGAGAGATGATGCCTTTATGTTAGCAGTGAAACTCCCCACTGAAACTCCCTTCAGAGAGAAAAAAATTCCACTTCTTTCCAAGGTTCAGTCATTAGTCCTTTACTGTGGTGAGTCGTCCAGTCAGACCCAACCTACAGCTGACCCTCCAACAAGTTTTCAGAGGCACTAAGTCACGCAGGAGGAACTTGCTTATCTTTCTCCCTCCAAGCAGTTGGTGGTCTGAACCAAGTGTCTTTGGGATTGGAGCTCAGCTTCTTCTCTGACATTTGATGTTTCATGTTCAGACATTTCTAGTCTGTATACTGTTGTTAGATGCCATTAAATCAAATATGACTTGTAGTAACCCTATGAATGCTAGATCTGAACCCTGTACTATTCTATGCCATCCTCACAATTTCTGACTCGCTCAAGACCATTGCTGCAGTCATTGTGTCAACCCACATGGTTGAGGGTCTCCCTCTCCTTGACGATTCCTCCATCTTCTCAAGCAGAACGTCCCTCTCCAAGGACAATCTCTCCTAGCAACATGTCCAAAGTATGCAAGAAGGATGAGACATTATAATCTTGGCCTTCAAGGAGCATTCTGGCTGCTCTGTCTCCAAGACATATCTTTTTGCTCTTCTGGCAGTCCATGGGATATTAATTACTCTTCTCCAACACCACAGTTCAAAAGCATCAGTTCTTATACCATCAGCTCTCAGATGCAAAGCAAGAGACTATAAAAACCATGGCCTGAATCAGGAGCATCTTAGTCATCAAACTGACATCGTTGCTCCTCAATAATTTGGAGAAGTCTCTGACTACAGATTTTCCCACAGCAATATGTCTCCTAATTTCCTGACTACTGGGACCAAGTGTATTGACTGTGGGTCCAAGTAAGATAAAGTCATTGACAATCGAATAACTTTTCTGTGCATCATTGCATTGTCTATAACTCCAGTAGAAATTATTTTGGTTTTCTGGATGTTGAGAAGCAATCAATATTGAAGGCTACAGTGTTTAACCTTCTGCAGGAAGCATCTCAAGTCCTCATCACTTCAGAAATAAGATTATGTCACCCACGTAACAAAGGAGGTGTGTGTGTGTGTGTGTGTGTGTGTGTGTGTGTGTGTGAAACTAATATGTTGTTGTTGTTGTTGTTTTTGATTGCCATTGAGTTTAGCACAACTCATAATGACTCTATGAACAAAAGGCCTGAAAAGTTTCTATAAGTATCGGTATTTCTCTAAGTTCACAGAGTTTCCAGAGGCATGTGTTTTAGGAAGTGGATGCCACTCCTGCTTCCAAACCTATCTTAAACTGTGAGCTCCACAAACACTGTCCACCATGGCAGGCCATTATGGCATTTGACTCCCAATGGCACAAGGTTCAGCATCCCAGCAACCCCAGATTACCTCAATACAGCAAATTGCTGACTATCATCATTTTTCCAAGTTTATAGAGTTTTTAGAGACATGTAGTTTAGGAAGTAGATGCCACTCTTGCTTCCAAACCTGAAGCGATCTGGGAGCTCCATTAACAGCCTATGATGGGTAGCCATTATGGTGTTTGACACACCTATGGTACAGTTGTTGCATTATGGCATTTGAGACTTCATTGGCACAAGGTTCAGTGTCACAGCAAACCTAGATTACCTCAGCACAGCAAATTGGCAAAAATGCTTTAAAACTTGGTAAAATGTTCCTAAAAAATATAGTAACAAGGGATTAAAATAAAAATCAATATATGTAAAGTTTATAAAGCAACCTAATTCATAATTTCAGAATTTAACTGTTTGGTCATAAATTATCTTTATAAATCACTCTCAGATGGGACCGTCAATGCTAGTAAAAACACAGAAGTATCTCAAGTGGACTCTTTGGACAGCAGGACTTACTTGTGATCTGTGTATAATGACAGAGGCATAGCTCCCCTGAGCAAGCCACTTTGCTGTGCTGGATATCTTCATCCCAGTGCCTGCCAGATTAATACTGAACTGCCCCTGGAGTATACACAAAACAAAGCAAAACAAAATTAAGAGGAATTCATAAAATATTGGAAAATGCCTTTTACTAGAAACATCAAATTATCGGTTCTGTAAGGATCAACTCAGTTATTTTCAAAGGTCTTCTTTTATAAAATTATAAAATAGTAACAAAAATGTTCCATAAAGACAATGACTCAGTTAAATTCTAAAAGTTGATTACAAATATTTCTCAGTTACAAGAGACAATTGAATTAATGCCATATAGTGCTTTCTATGCAAAAGTGACTTTCAGGCCCTCAGATATCAACACTTGACAGGTACAGCTAGTGGTTTTGTAGCTGCAAGAAAGACTTGACAAGAAAGTGGTGTTGATAGGGTCTGGCAGATTGCATCATTTCCCAAGTTTCAATTACAGATCCATTTTGATAAATTTGCTAGAAGGTGTACACTTTTTGATGATTCAAGGATCTTCTGTTGTTATGATTCATTTTGGTGATTAAAAATATTATTTTCAACTCATTATACAATACTATGAAGTGTAGTATGAAAGTTCTGTACTATGTTCTTTCTAAAAAGCCAGAAATAAATTTGGATTGTGACATCAAATGATTTACACATATTGTAGCGGGTGGGCCCCCTAGTGGCTTTATGATTTGATTATTTTCAATTACAATGACTTTTTTGGTGTCAAAACTTTTCATACTATTTAAAAAAAAATCATTAAACTTTATTCATTGAGGAAATTGGTAACTAAAATGAGTAAAACTTGTGTCATAATTAAAATGACCTCACAGGAAAAAAAATAGAGGTTTTAAAAAAAAGAAGTAAATGCTTATTTAACCAAATGACATTGCACAATGTGAATATAAACTCAGAACAATATTTAGGCTTGCTTTGCACAAGATCCAAATGGTCTAATGTGTGAATCTTAAACAAGACTTTTAATGACATTGGGGGCTAAGCTATATGAAGTAAAGTATCACCTTTTCATGAAAACAAAGGCTGAATAAACTTCAAATATATTAATAATACGAATATTGCTGGTGATAAAGCCTTAAAATACTAGTTTAGTTGATGTTGGTTTAGTTTATTAGCCTTGAATTTCTAACAATCTTAAACTTTTATTTGTAATATAAAGACAATATCTGAAGAATGTTTTGATAATATAAACTATATTGGAAAAATTCTATGATAATTTCTTATTCTATCTAGTATCACTTACTTAGAATATGGGTTACATGCTTGTATCATTGCTCTATTCCCTCCGCCTAGAGTAAGGCTGAGTATTCAATAAGTAGTTTTTGATTAATAGACTAAGAGTAGCATCATGAAATTTACATTATAGCATAATAAAAGTAATTATTGTATAAAACCTTTCAGAGCCATTGTAACAAATAGCACTAACCTTACCTATACTTGTGTTTTAGTTTGGTAAACATTTGAATGAAAAGAATAAATTTGTAGGATGAATTATATTTACATGGGCATAATCAATATCCATGAAAGCAAGAGTACTAAAATCAAATGATGTATTGCACTGAGCAAATCTGCTGTAAAAAGCCTCCTTAAAACCTTATTAAGTATTTGATGCTTTGATGGCTTTTCTTTGGTGACTGAAGTTTGCACTACTAAACCTATAGTATTTTCAAATGTGCTATATACATGAGAAAGTTGAACAACAAAAAAAGGCATAGTGTCCTCCTTATGGGACTGAGTTAGTTCACTTGGCAGACAATGGAATACTACTCAGCATGTAGGAGCAATGATTTTGAAAATTCCTACCTAACTTGGGAGGGACTGTGTAGCATTATGCTAAGTGAGCTAACTCAGTCCCATAAGGGCAAATACTGTATTAGACGGTTATTGCAGAAACAGATAACTACTAAAATGTGTATGAGGATCCAAGGGCAGGAGCAGGGAGCAGAGGGGTGAGGAATCATAGGGTTGCACAATCTGATGGTTGGAGGGAGGAGTGGGTAAAAGAAACAGGAAAGATCGGGTGTGAAAAACAAGGTATACAAACTTTGTAAGTAAAATTTTATTTTTATGAAAAAGGAAAATTAAAGAATAATTGGCACAAATACAGTGTGATAAAGAATAATACTGACTATACCACAGACTGCTAGAACAAATGTGTATTAAATGGAGTACCGCCAGAGCAATCTTTAGAGGCAAGGAATGTGAGATGTGAGACTGATACTCTGGCTTTTACTATGGTATCAGGAAGCACAAATTCCTGGGAAAAAGACATAATCCTTAGTAGAGAGGCAATGAAAAAAGGGAAGAAATTTTAAAAAGGCGGATAGACTGCAACAACGGGCTCACATGTACCTACAATACGGAAGGTAACATACGATCAGTATAGGTTTCATCCTGTTGTATGAGGGGTCAAAGTCAGAATTCACTTGATAGCACCTCACCAATATAGATTTTAATCTGAGTAGTTTGATCCTATATTTTGGTACTCTAATAAGCTTCTTATTATTTAAAGTGGAAATAGGTCTTTTTTGAAGTAGGTTTTATGTGACTTCTCATTTATTGAATATTAAGGTTGGACCATGCAATGTTTTCAAGACATTTGTTTTTGTTCTATTATCATTATTTCTCTACTTCCCTAATTAATGTGGTTTGGAAACATTCAATCATATATACATATTGGAAATAAAATGAACGAATGATTAGACCATGAAATGACAGAATTAAATGGTCATTAACACAATCACTTGATTCTAGAAATACTTATTCTACTTTTTTCTGGATTGATTTTCATGAGTTTTACATCTACTTTTAGACTTTGTTTAAAAACTATCAAATAAAATAACAAATTTTTTAACTTCACCTTAATGTTTGCATAATGTTGCTAGAAGTAAAGCTTTATTTCACTCACCATTTATCTGTTCAAAACTAATTGAGTAGAATACATAGTATCAAGTTCTGTAGCAATTCAAAACCAGATTTAACTCTAGGCCCAATATACAAAGCAGCATATGTACACAAATAATTACATTGCAATGTAGAGGATATTTGGTAGCATAATAAAAGTACTGATAAATTTCTATGAAAATTTGGATATGGGTGGTGTGGCAGGAAGAGGCACAGCGCAGAACCCACAGTACCTTGGGGGAATCACTGCTTTTTAGATACACCATGCAGTACCCCTAAAGCTCAAACAGAAGGGAGAGTTCGAGCAGCTAGAATGAGGCAGAGATGCCAGTTCTGGAAGGGAATAACAGGATTCCCGGTTTCCTGTTTAGGTACTTTGGGGGAATCACTGCTGTTGAGACTGAGGCCCAACAAAGAGCATAAATAGGCAGGTCCTTCACAAAACATTGGCATACTCTGAATCACTAGAGAGTTACAACAACCTAATATCTACTAAGGAAAGACTCACATAGTATCAAGAAAACAGCGGTTTGCCTCAGTTAGCATGAAAAAACAAAATAATCCTTTTTCTAAAAAAAAAAAAAATACCCATTGACTACCCCAGATAGAACCAGAAGAAATAAGTTGGTGTGGAATTCTTTGAAAAGCTACAGAAGATGTAAATGGTGGAAGAAACAAGTAAGAAAGCAAATACCCAGAGACAATAATCCAGAAGAAATACATTGATGAGGAACAACTTGAACAGCTATAGAAGAAACTGCAAAAGATGGAAGAAAGAATTGATAGTACAAAGAGGTACAGGAACATACAAGACAGTGAGGGTACAGCCAACATAGTACTGGAAATAACAGAAAAGCATGAATCCAGAATATTAAGACCCAAATGGCAGAAGTGTCCAACGTGCTGGTAGAACAAAAAAGTAGAACTAAGGAGATGGAACAGCCAGTGAGCTGAAAGACAAGAGCTTCACACTAGAAGAAAAATCAGAGATGAGACATATGAAAATGAAGAAAACATTACAATCATGTGGGATAACATCAAAAGGAATAAGATATGTGTGATTGGAATTCTAGAACAGGAGAGTTACAGGAAAATCACTAAGATAATTGTGGAGGAAGAATTAGAAGAAAACTTCCCAGGTATTTTCAAGAACAGGGGAACCCACATTCAAGAAGCACAGCACCCTTCTGCCAAAGACAGCCAGAAATGTACAATCTAAAGACTAAAATTGATCAATGGGACCTTCTGAAGATTAAAACCCTGTGTTCATTCAAAATTTTTTCCCACAGGTGAAAAGAAAACCTACTGACTGAGAAAAAACATTTGGCAATACCATCTCAGACAAGAGTCTCATAATGAAAGTTTATAGACTATTCCTGAGCCTCCACAAGAAAAAATTTGATAACCCAATTACAAAATGAGTGAAAGATGTAGAAAGATTTTCACAGAGAAAAGTATTCAAGTGACCAACAGACATATGAAGAAATGCTCCAAATCACTGGTAATAAGTGATACAATTCAAAACCACAATGAGATATCATATCACTCCAGTAACAGTGGCAAAGCTAAACAGGATAGCAAGCAATAAATGTTGTAGTGATTGTAGTGAAATAGGAACTCTTATATATTGTTGGTGGGGTTGTACAATTGTATAACCACTCTGGAAGGCAGTTTAACACTTCCTCAGAAAGCTGAACATAGAAATTCCATATGATCCAGCTATTCCACTGCTTGGAATATATCCTAAGAAAATGAGAACTGAGGCTCAAATGGAAACTTGTATATCAATGTTCATAGCAGAATTGTTCACCATTGCAAGAACATGGAAACAGCCTAGCTATCTAACCACAAATGAATGAATTGAAAGTTGTGGTATGTTCATACAGTGGAATACTACACAGCACACAGGAGCAATCATTTTTTAAATTACTACCTAACTTGGGAGGGACTGGAGAGCATTATGTTGAGTGAACTAACTCAGTCCCATAAGGATAAATACTGTATAAAAGCAATATTGTAGAATGAATATGAGGATCCAAGGTCGGGGAGAGGGTGGAAATAGAGGGGTGAGGATGGGTGGGTAAGGTATTAATCATTGGGTGGCACAAGCCATTGGGTGGGTGGGATGAAGG